AATTCAGTGACATTGACTACATTCTTTGAGTTGTACAATCATTTTCACCCTCCTTTCTGGAGTGGTTTCTCTCCTATTAGTACCAACTCACTGTCACCTAAGATTCCTATTTAGTCTTTTGAGTTGTTGTTGTCAATTTGATCCTATAATTTTAAAAATAAACATTTTCGTCAAGAGAGATATTTTATACTTTCACTGCCGTGGAGTCGGATCTGACTCATAGCAACCTCTCCTTGGGTTTCCGAGGCAGTCTTACTATGGAAGTAGCTTGCCCAACCTTCCTTCTGAGGAGTGGATGGTGGGTTTGAACTGCTAGCCTTTTAATTAGCAGTCAAATGCCTTAGGCCATTTAACAGTTGATTTTTTGAAAATAGATTGCCACGGCTTTCTTCCAAGGTGCTTCTGAGTGGACTTGAATCTCCAAACTTTGGTTAGCAGCTAAATACATTAACTGTTTGCATCACCAAGAGTGCACAAACACAGGAGTTTCAAAATCAGGTTTCATGCTTATACAGAATAAGAACTAAGCAAGTGTTTAAAATCAAATGAATAAATCTTAAAAAATTTCAAGAGAGATGGAATTTTGTTGTTGTTGTTGTTGTTGTTGTTGAGTGACTTAGGGCATTTGTTTGATCTCTCTAGACTTTGTTTCCTCATCTGAATGAATAGACTGTTGTATGAATGATGATGGCCAAAATATATACACTTCAATTTTTCTGATTATGCATGCCAAATAGTACTAAATATCTATTTTCCATGATTATCATTTTCTTTTTCAACAATAGAAATAATGATACTGGTTCTTTTTATTTTTTACAGAAAATTTATCTCTTGGCAATGGGGCATCTTGGACTAATTCCATGGAAAACATAAACAATGTGACTATGTTTATTTTCTTGGGTCTTTCTCAGAACCCAGAGGTGGAAGAAGTTTGTTTTGTGGTGTTTTCATTCTTCTACACGGCTAGTCTTCTGGGAAACCTTCTCATCATGCTGACAGTGCATATGGGCAATCTTTTCAGGACGCCTATGTATTTCTTTCTCAACTATTTATCTTTGGTGAACATCTGCTACTCTTTAGTGATAGCTCCAAAGATGATTGTTGACCTTTTAGCTAAGACAAAACCTATCTCTTATTTAGGGTGTGTGTTGCAACTTTTTGGGTCACATTTCTTTGGTTCCACTGAAATTTTCATCCTTGTCATAATGGCTTATGATCGGTATGTGGCCATTTGTAAACGTCTACACTATACAACCATCATGGACCAGACCAAATGCAATAAAATAATGCTGGGGTCCTGGGTAAGTGGGTTATTGCACGCTGTTATCCAGATGTCTTTGGTGGTCCAGCTCCCCTTTTGTGGACCCAATGAAGTTGATCACTACTTTTGTGATGTCCACCCTTTGCTGAAGCTGGCCTGCACAGACACATATGTTGCTGGTGTTGTTGACACAGCCAACAGTGGGACTGTCACCCTAGGGGGCTTTGTTATCTTGTTAATCTCCTACACTGTCATCTTGGTGTCTCTGAGAAAACAGTCAGCAGAAGGCAGGCGCAAAGCTCTTTCCACTTGTGGCTCTCACGTTGCTGTGGTTGTTATCTTCTTTGGTCCTTGTGTCTTTATGTTCATGCACCCTGATGTCACCTTTGCTGCGGATAAAATGGTAGCTGTATTTTACACCATTATCACCCCCATGTTAAATCCCTTGATTTATACACTGAGAAATGCAGAAGTAAAAAATGCAATGAAGAAACTGTGGGGTAGGAGGCTAATGACAAATAGTTTAAAGTAATGATACTTTAAGCTGAATGATTGTAATTCTTTCAATCTTAGTTAACACATCTATACAACGAAGACAGTAAAATGACCTTGCTAAGTAATTGGAAGAAACACATCTTGTTTTCTCCTCCCCATTCTTGACTATTTTCTTTAAAAAGTGAAATTCTACTTAGTGTTTAGAATCGTGGCTGGTACATATCAAACACTAAGATCATATGTTGTTTGAAAGTAGTGTACGAGCAAACTAGCAAGGATCAGGAACACTATGGTGATTTAAGTATTCCCATAACACAGATTCTTGTGGAAATTAAACCTAGAAAGCTTGGCATGGCAGAGGAAATGTGTGAAGAAAAAAAAAAAAAAAAGATAAAACGTAAGCTTAAAAGACAAATTGCATTTTCTCAATCTCCAACCTTGGTGGGGGGGGCAACTTTTTTATTTAATTGGACTCCTTTTCTTTGCCTCTACTGTGTATTGGACAAGCTGACCACCTTTTAATTATAAGAGCCTGTGAGTACGCTGCTATTAACTGACTAATCTATACCTGCAATCTATAGCCTCAGTCCCTGTTCATGTGAAATAACAGAAAAAATCTGAAGAAGCACAATGAAAACAAAAACACTTGTGATAAATAGATGAGTGTGATTCAGTCAACAGGGTTAATACATTTTTTATTAATTTACCTCTTTCCTCTGTTAGGCAAAACAGCTATACTGAATAAAATGAGTCATTTTCCACTACTTTCTAGTCTTACGTAGTCAGATTTCCATTCGTGAACTCCAGAGAGGCCCATTTTGATCAAACAAATGCCTAGTTTATATGAATTGAAAACTGGTCCAGGTAATATCTATTTTCTGCACCTTTTGATGCAAACTGGACTTTAGTATGTGTTGTGTGTTGCAGGTGAACATTTCTCATCATGTGTCTCCAATTGTTTCATTCTCTTTTCCACAATTTTGAGTATCCTATTATTATGTATATTAGCTATATCCCATGCAAGTGTTTGTGGTTGCAAGTAAACATTTCTCACATTAAGGATTGTATAGAGTTAGTGCTTAAACATGTTTGCCAGTGTTGATGCAATCACAGAAGCAAAGAGAGGAAAGATAAAAAAACAGCAAACATGACTGAGAAGTAATAATCAAGAAACTCTTACCCTGAGATCATATAAATCCATGGTTATTGTCCCAGGTTGGTCATATACTCACTGGGTTTCTGTAGACCTCCATTTCCTCAATTTAACATGAGGGCTTGCTGAGTGCTTCTTACGTCTGGATGATCATTGGAATCATCTTGAGAGATTTTTAAACAGATAACAGAACCTATTCCAAGACATTCTTATTCCATAGGCCAAGATTAAGTGGTATATAAAAGTCTATATATTTAACAAGCTCCTCTGATAATTGTTATGTATTCAGGGAACTTGGATTTGGAAACACTGGGACTAGATGTGTGATCCTGTTATGGCTAAAGAGATTTAGGAGTTAATTAATCCAAAGACTCTACTTTTGCATATATTTCACCATGTGCTCCAATAACCACTATAAGAAAGTTAAACAGGCACTGAATTTAGAAAACTATAGAATAAATCAATGTTATCCAATTGATAATTTTCTTTGTAATACTCTTTTCCATATCCCTTTGCAATAAGTGTTTGGACATTGAGGGATAATAGTATTAATATTGTGTTGTGAAGTCTCTAAGATCGTAGAAGTTGCCAGGTTCATGTGTTTTAAATGCCAGGAAGGGAAACATGACAAAGTACTCAAGTTTCTACTTGTTACTTTATAAACTCCCCTATTTTCACAAAATTTTCACATAGTCAGTCCCTACCAGAGGAGCTCAGAGATTCCCCTCTTGGTTCCTTGGGAGGAAATGACCAAAAATGATGAGAACTCAGATTCTACCCAAGTTTGATGGGGCAGGGCAATTCAGCAATACTATATACTCCATAAATTTATCATCATAACATTCTTTTGTATTATAACAGCTTTATAGCTGTGCTGTCACAAGAAGGGAGATGTAACTTTGACAAGAGCCTTCATTGATTAAAATAAATGACAACGTTTCTAATTTTCCAGATGGAGAAATTAGTTTATATCAGTATGGAAACCAATGAGAATATGT